TCTTTACTTTTCTTAAAAGATGCGTTTTATTGTTAATGTTGTTAATGTATACCAGGTACAGAGGAAGAAGAAACACTATAATTTTTCAGAGTTTTTTATAATTGAAATAGTTTTTCTTTGCTTTGTTGAATAGAGGAATAGGCGCTGAGTGTCTCGCTTGTGTCTCTCCAGCCTTTTACACTGTGCAGGGTCATATATGGTGCTTTAAGTCATCATTCCTGCAAATGGTAATTCAAGAGTGCATGCATACAGTATTAATGGAGGAGTACCTCAGATGACTGCATGGGGTAGCAGATCTCTTTCTGTCCTTATGGCTGCTTGGGGCAGACTCATTGTACATTTTCCTGTTGAAGGGAATTGTTTCCTGCCATGCCTCTACAAAGCTACACTTGTGATTTAGATTGCTCTCAAGATTGGCTATAACAGATTATATGACGCATTCTTCTAGAGAGGGGCAAGTGGTCCTGCTGTGTGCTTAGCCTTGCCAAGACAGTAAGATTAGGCAGACTGGCAGGTGGGAGTCTGGGAACCAAAGGTGTTAGTTTAGGCTACAGGGAAAACACTAGACATGGCAGATCAAGGTCATTCACTGTTATTCTCCACTCAAAACAAAGATTCCATGTGGGTATTGGGATGAGCAATGTCAGGCCATACTTGACAGATAATTAAATTGGAGGATCATATGGGATGCAACAAACAACAGTCCTTGAGGATACTGAATACAGCAGACAGAGAATTGAAACAAGGAACAATATTGGTTGTTTTTGTACAATTCAGTGAGGTTGGTGTTGCTCTTGAACAATTTCTCTTAGCTAATTACTTAAAAGGTTTTGACCAAGAAATAAAAGATAAATTATGACCAACTGAAATAGAAATATACCTGATGTTTTAATGAGATTTATCAGACATTCTTCTTTAGTAAGAGAGCACCAGTGTTACTCTGTCCAGACAGCATCTGCGTTTCCACATAGACATTTTTATCTTTGCTTCAGTGTTATTACATACATATGAAGCAAAAGTACTTGTTGATATGAGGGACAAGTTACTAATAGTGGTGCAAATAGTGAGACAAGTCTGTTGCTCTTCTCCTTCCTCAAAACATCTAACAGACAACTCTACTGCCATCCATGGCTTCTCCAAGAACCTCCACTTCGCTATTAATTTCTTCCATGCTGGTACCATGTTTAGAAAAACAGTGTTGAATTTCTTCTTGCTAATACTGTTTCTAACTCTGAGAAGCAGAAAAAAATGTACTGAGTCTGTTTATCTGCACGTTTTTCAAATGAAATTGTATTGAATTTATACAGAGGTCATACAGGATATTTGCCACTGCTAGAAATTACTTAGAATGGACATTAGTGTTTGTAAGAATTGAATGTAAATCCACTTACTCCTTTTGCAGTGATTTCTGTCTGAATTGTATCTTTTAAAAATACTACTGAAGGTCCAGTCTTCCCAGTCTAACTGTTTCTGACCCCATTAGCTGTTGGAAGAAGTGTTAAAAATACAGAAAACTGTAATAGAAAGAAAAGATATGTGTATTGCAGACTTGTGTTGCCATTGATTTCTTGGAATAAGATTTTTCTATTCATGTTTCATGTTGAAGTACTAGAACAGTTCCAGGTGTGTACTTCCCTTGTGACATGGAGTCAGTCTGTGGAAGTACTGAACAGAATATTTAGGTATCTTAAGTAGGTGGCACTTAATGCTTCTGATGCAAGAAATTGGCAATGTGGTCACGTGTAAGGATGCCATTTTTAATTTCTGATTAGGAGTGCCCCTAGGAGATTTTGTGTTCTGCCAGATTGGAAACTTTATATTGGATAAAGTCACTAAACTCCAGGAAGGAGATGGACAGCAGTGATCATAAGCATGACCTACTATATATATTTAAGGAAGCAGCTTAGACAAGTGTCTCCTGCTCCTCCAGTAGAACAAGTTGCCATTGCATAAGCAGCACTAACCAGCTTGTATAATTAATGAAATATCAAGCCATTTAATTCAAAAACAATTCTTGAGGAAGCTAACCAGGGATACTGAATTTTTGAGGATGTAGTTTGTGCTTACAAAGACTGTATTTCATGAATAGCAGTAACCAGCAATAACAAGAAGCTATTGATCTTTACGATAAATTTAGGGGAAAATTCTGCATCCCTTTGCTGCGTCTTCTGCCCACTCTGTCAGCTCTATGTTGTGTATGTGTTGCATGTGCAGAGGCAGGTGTGAGCAGAGTGGGGGCAGGATGGAGATAATAGCCTCTGCTAATCCCCCACTGGCATAGTGTCTATTAGGAGTCAGTGATGTAATTAGAGTTGAAACCCTGCTGTCTCTCATCTCTCAATGTCACATGGCCACCAGTCTATCCGAGCATAATTTGTCCATCATGGAGAAATGTAGCCTGAATATAAATCTGCTCTTTTGCTGTCTTGTAGACGGGTTTGATACAACATTAAGATTGTAGCTCATTCCCCCACTCCACTTTCAGAATATTGGCAGACCTGAGATGCCTGTATCCAGGAATGGCTTCCAAGTACTACTGCTTCCTTGTTTTAGAGAAGAGGGATATGTGTTCCTCTATAATTTGAGGTTGTCATAATTATACTCAAATTAGGCCATACAAATACTATTTGCCTTCTTTACTTTCTCCTGATTTACTCACCAGACTCTATAAAGTTTAAGCATTTTAAGCTCAGTTAACTTTAAGTGTTTTGTCTAATTTGGACTTTCCTTTCTGGAGAACCTCTGGAAGCATAGCCTTAGGAAGGCATTTGAATTTAAACTGTTACTGAGCTGACCCTGTAGCATGTTAGTTGCAGGAAGATGATGGCCACTCCTCTTGCAGCATCCGGCAACAGCCTTCTGCTGACCTGAGTCTTGCTGGTTGCCCTCCAAGTGACTGGTGTCCCAAGTCCCCAAGCTGTGCCAGCCCATACTGCTGTGAGGGCTGCATAAAGACATCAACCTCCATGTCTAACCTTATGCCAACCTACAGATGGATTCAGCAAGCTAGTGGTAAGGGATAGTGTTACAGGCAGCTGCATCCAAAGGGCTCTTCTTCATTGCACTCAAAAATTCCACTCAGACAGCTGGCAGTTGATGCAAAAACGGGAGGAGTGGCTGCAACACCAGTGCTACCCATTCAGAGCCACCTAGGCAGGCTAGGAAAGTGGGATGAGAGGAATCTTGAAGTTCATCAAAGGGAAAGGCCAAATTCTGCATGAGGGGATGAGTAATAAACACAGCAGTGCAGGCCCAACTGGCAGGAAACTGCTTTGCACTGGAGTACCTGGGGGTTCGTGGTGGGCAGCAAGTTGCATACAGGCCAGCAGTGTGTTCTTGAAGCAAGGGAGTTAAATGGCATCTGGTCTGCTTTAGGAAAATCATCACCAGCAGCTTGAGGGATATGATCCTTCCTTTCTGTTCTGCTCTAGTGAAACATCTGCAGTGTTGGGTCCAGTTCTGGGCTCCCCAACAGAAGAAAGACACAGACATCCTGGAGTAAGCCTGGCAAAGGGCCAGAGAGACGATGAACCGGAGCATCTCTTCTGTGAGGAGTAACTGAGAAAACTGGGACTCTTCAGCTTTGAAGCAGAGAAGGCTCAAGGGGGCATATCAGTTTGTGTGAATACCTGATCCCCCACACTGCAGAAGACAGGGCCAGACTCCTCTCAGTTCCCAGTGACAGAACTAGAGGCAGTGAGCACAAATAGAAGTACAGGAGATTCCTTCTGAGAACAATAAAAGAGTATTTTCTTTTCACTGTGGAGGTGACAGAGCAGAACAGTTGCACATATTGCCCAGAAAGGTTGTGGAGTCTCCATCCCTGGAGATACTCAAAAGCTGTCTGGGCATGGTTCTGGACATCTGGCTCTAGGTGGCCCTGTGTTGAGCAGGGGTGTTGCAGCAGTTGACTTCCAGAAATTACTTCCAACCTCAGCCATTGTGGGATTCTATGAAATGTTTATTACGCTCCACTAATCTTACACAGTTATACCTGTAGTGCACTACACTGTAGTGCACTTTCCTCTCCCCCCTCAAAGGGAATCTGACATCTCTGTGTTACATCTTCACAGTGAGATTTTTCAGAAGGTAAAGTTATGAACTGTAACTCCATTAGTTATGAGTCATGGAAACATTGATTTTGAAACATTTGTATTTTACCCTGTTTAAAAGTTGTTTGTGGTTACAATTACTTTTTGCTTGCCATCAGTATTGTTTTGGTTTTTTGCTCAAATTGAAAATATGCTTGTGTTTTCAAAACAAATGTCATTGTGGGAAAAGAATCAAGCATTGCCAATTTTTTTCACAGCAGGAATATTTTCACTGGCTGGATCTGGTAAACCACTTCTGAAGAGAAAATTTCATTCTAACACTACATGTACACACACACACACATAAACATATTTGAACATCCACGTATTTTGCTTTAAATTCAGGCTACATTCAGGCTACATTAAGTATTCCTGTGGAACACATCCAGGTCAGGCATAAAATTTGGGCTGTATGTTGCTCATACCTTTCTGCTTTGAAACAAAGCATCTGTCAGTAAATGTTTCTTACTACCAAGTCCCCCAGTCACACTGAAACCTGGGGTCTCATCTGCAGTGTACAAGTATATTGAGGTTTTTTCTGATATACAGAACAGAAACATATTGTAACATATTGTATGCCTTCACTGCTATTTTATTATTTCACATCAAATCTTTTGAAGTAATGAGTATTTGCTGATGTAGTATTTCACTCAGGAGAGAGAAATCATGTTCCAACTTTTTCTCTTGACGAGCAGACACTGAATCAGTGTGAAGAATAGAAAATCTTATAGACTGTGATTAATTAAGTCTGTAGCGTAGTACAAACTTTTATTCAGGAAATTCAGTGAGTTCAGAAGTATGGCACTGGTAGACAGGATACGCAGTGGATTTTAATACAGCCTTTTTCTATCCAATGTATCCTGTAATTTTGTATGGAGTTTACATGCCACATCCTCTTTTTCTTTGCAGGGTACATACCCAGTTACTTAGACAAGGATGAGCTATGTGTAGTATGCGGGGACAAAGCCACCGGATATCATTATCGCTGCATCACTTGCGAAGGTTGCAAGGTAAATGGCACAGTGGGAAAGTGGGAATCAGAAATAGCTCTCCAGCTCCTCCATTATACAGACTTCCTGAATTGTGCTGTCAAATCAAATAAAGACAGATTAGAAGCTAATAAGAACATCCAGTACTGATGATAAGCCGTATCTGACCATGCTGCTGTTCTTCATATGCATAAGGACTATAGTTGGTTTTTGCCGTGTTTGCTTCTGAAAAGAAAACAAGAAATTTAGATTGTTGTTGCTGCTGTTTAACAGTTAGCTTTTGAATTTCCATTTTTTAATGTTTCTTTATCCATGTTCGCATCCAGGGTACATCAGCATGTTCCCAGCTACTCCACTGAAGCTGTTTATGCAATAGCTAAGGTTCTGCTTATGTTCATGAAGTCTGTAGCGATTAGCAGTGTTCCAGTGCCTCTCACCATCCCTGTGAAGAAGCAAAAATCAAAATCCTTTCCACATGCTCATGTTACAGTAACATCCATCAATTTGGGAAGCATTGACAACCAATTAAAATAGTTTCAAAAAGATTTTGACTTCTTTAACTTAAGCATATTGAAATGTGCTTTCAGCCCTAAAATGCATCTCCAAGAATACATGCAAAATTAAATTTAAAAAGAAATTGCTTTGGGCAAGTAAATAAAAAAATGGAGTAACACAATCAGACACATCTTACATGATTTCACTGCCATGAATTTGCCTGAATAGCTTGAGATTCTGTAAGAAAGCTATTCTTTCCTCCAGAAAGTAAAAAAAAAAAAAAAAATGTTTTTCTAAACAAATGGGACCACACATGTCTTGGGCTAGTGTCATGAGACTAAGCCATGAAAGTCTCATTCTGTTCACGCACAAAGTCTGGAACATTTGGATCTGATATTTAGGGTTTGGATTGGCTTTAGAGCTCCTCATCACAGTAACTCTTGTGTTGAAGTAGTTCTTTTGGTTGTACATCATTTCCCTAAGTTACATTTGTGAAATACACAGAGACCTAAATATCCTATGTATAGCAGATTCATGGTAATATTCATAATGGTTTTATACATATACTTACATACAAAGTATAAAAAAGTACTTATATCTTTAAAAAAAACTTTGGAGCTGCGCAAGTGGTTCTTACACATTTACATCCTGAATACAATATACAGATGATAACAATACATGTATGGATGTGATTTAATTTAGATATAATGGGAAGTAAGCAGTACTGGGGCAGTATGAAGTATACTTAGCTCCCAGCTGAACAGCTGTACCTATTGCAAGCTTTCCTGCTAAGGTTTTCATTACTTCAAGTCAAGTAGTTCTTTTTATGCCTACCAGCTATTTTAGAGACATAACATACAAATTTGCTTTTATCTTCACATACAGTTCGTCTCACTGACGTACAATTTTAAATAATGCTTATGCACACAAGGACCTGAGATAACAATTTGCAAAAGTAATTATTTTCTTGGAGGAGCTGCATACACATTTCAAGCTGTATGATATATCAACAAAATTATATGATTTATCAATGCACAATATATATAATAAATTTTCAATTAATTTGATGTTTACTAGTTGCTTCCACTCAAAGTCACTTTAGTTTTGTAACAAGCATAATCAAGGCTGACAACCAAAGATTTGCTTTGGCAAGTGCTTTCATGAACAAAGCATCCTCACACGATTTCTGAAGAGTAAATTGTGAGGAATTTAAACACAAATAAATGAGCAGTGAGTTCTGACATCACTGAAATGTTTTTCCTGACTTTACCCATTGCATCTACTGCTATATATGTGTGTAGTAAAGGAGTTTAGAAGGAGTTACTGCTTACTGTACAATGTGCTTTCTTTTATTGATGAGAATAACCCTTCTGTGGTGAAGTGTTTAGAGAGATTCCTTAACATGTATCTAGAGATGAACAAAGAAGGATTTTTGCAAAATTTTTCGGAGAAATGCAAAGAAGTGAGAAGGTGAAATGGGCTGTCCCAGCAGAGGTGATGGAGACCCTTGCTATCATAAAGCTACAGCTACATGAAATCCCACGCAAGGTTTAGAAAGCAGAAGCTCACTCGCTGAGATTCATTAGAGAGTTTTCTAGCTCTTGTTTCATAACTATTGATAACCCTGTGACCCTGGTTGTCCACAGCCATCTTAGGTGTTCAGGAAGGGGTGGAGCAGATCCTGCCTCTAGGAATTCGTCTCAGGGTTGAGAACAGAACAAAAACTGGGTGTTCAGTAGATGAGACTTTGAGACTTATTCCAAACCCTACATAAGGATATCTTGCCTGTGATTTCCTGGATTTTATCTTACCACAACTGGTCCCAGTCGTGCAAAGGCTCCCACACAAGCTTTATGCCACACAGTTTAATTAACATTTCAGGTTTTACCATAATTAAGGAAGAAAGAGTTGTACTCTTTGCTCAAGCTGAACCTCGTAAGATAAAACTCTAATGAGGACAAGTCTCTTCATTGTTTTCACAGGAGTTAGGAGTACAAGCTGAAATGCAGACTTATCTGTACATGTTAATTCAACATTTTGTGTTAAAAGAAATTGCGCACTGCTGTAAGATTTTATTGGGTATTATTTAACATGATTTAAAACCAGACCTTTCGCCTACTGAAGTGAAGAGACTATTCATTAGACAAAATCCCAGCTGAAGAGACTATTCACAAGGTAAAATCTCCCTTGAATTTTGCTATTGTTTTGACTAAAAGCAAAGCCATTCTGAGCAGCCTCAGTCAAACAGGACCAGAGTGTCAGTGTGTTCTCTGTGTCAAGGTAATCCCGAGCTGCATTGCTGAATCTAGACAGTCTCAAATAATGGTGAAACTTGAAATTAAAGTGAAGTCTAAATTTTCTGCTTTACAGCCTATCTTGTTCGTATCTTGCAGTCTTGGGGAGGTTATCCAGCCCTTGCAAAAGTCAGTGAGAAAAGTCATGTTGAAATTAATGCCAGGATTTTACTCATAATGTTCAGAGATAACTTTTATCTGATTTTATTACCTCCAGCAAGGTTTTATGGGGCGTTTGAATGAGTGAATTCAGTGGGATTGTGTTAGTTCATATGGTCTTAGGATCTGTTTAAATTTGCAGGATAGATCTGTATTATGATAGATAGATAGATAGATAGATACATAGATACATAGATACATAGACAGACGAGTCTTTGGTGGTGATGGGGCTTTTGGGGCTTTTGAAATTCTGTGGTAAATACAAATTAAATCTGCTTCTCAGAAATACAAATAATTTGTAAATTAGGGATGCTTTCAGTTTAGAACCAAACTCAAAGATTGTGTAGACTGTATTTGCAAAATCTTTTTCTTGCCCAGATTTGGTTGGTTATTTGGCTTTTATGGAAATAAAGGAGTGGAACTGTTTGTCCTCAATCCTTTAATAGCACAAAGACACCACCATACTTACTATTTGCAGAAGCTGCTTTTTAATTAAAACTATGTGTATGCCTTTCAATATCCTTCAAAATAATTACAGAGTTTGAAAAGGGGCTCAAAAAATACTTCATATACAAAAAAAAATTTAACAGTAAAAAATAAGACTACAAGAAGACAAGTACACAGTATTTGTGTCTCAAGACAGCACTACTTGCACCTTTACTTATCTAAGGTGTCTTTATGTTTTTAATTGTTAAGAAAAATCAAGAGAAATGCCGTACACTATAAAACTGGTTTGAGAGCTTTGAGAATTTTTGGTAATGAAGTGTGTTATCTTGCATACTTAGGTACATGCCTAACAAATCAAGCAGCTCCCAATTTTTAAAAACTGCTCAGTGCTAATGCTTTCCTATGTATTTTTTTTTTGCACCTAGGGTTTTTTTAGAAGAACCATTCAGAAGAACCTCCATCCAACCTATTCCTGTAAATATGAAGGAAAATGTGTGATAGACAAAGTAACAAGAAATCAGTGCCAGGAATGTCGCTTCAAAAAGTGTATCTTTGTTGGCATGGCAACAGATTGTAAGTATATTTTCCTGGTTTTTCTTTATTTTATTTTTTTTTCAGTGTCTGTGTTTGCTTAAAGTATGTTGATTGATGAAGCTTGTGAAATTAAAGTAGAACTGCCAGCCCTTTTCTGGTTTTAATAATACCAAGGAATCATACTCGTTGCATTAAGCCACTTTCACAGGGCTGTAATTTTCTGTTTATCCTTCATCAGGCTGCACCTTCTCCTGGCCTTACCAAGCTGAGTAACAATAGGAATGTTCACTCTTTGGAGGAGAGGAGGGAGAAATGCATCTGGACGGACACTTTGCTTGAGATAAAAACATCTTGTTTAGAAAATTCTGGAGGATGTGAAATTGAATGTCATTGTATGAGTCATCCTGCAGTTGTTTGTTTTATTTTTAGCCCTGAAGAAGTTATCTGCTGGAAAGATTTTGAGTCTCTTCTAAAGAACTAGAAAATATGGCTGTAAGATTAATCCTTAGGGGTCTTCTTTTCCTGCCATTGCACAGGGATTTACACCGATAACTTCAATTACTACAAATGGGAGGAAGTCACATAAAGCCCCCAGAAGTGATATAAATCCTCTTGTGCCTTCATGGTTGTTGCCAGTATTATCCTTTGCAGAAGAACTGACAGGAAAACAGGCCCAGTAAACAACAGAAGAATAGTCTAACTTGGTATTTTCATTGCTAATGTAATGTATATCAGTGCCCTCTGTCTAGAGGGAAATAGAATAAAGGAGACAATTTCATTATAGCCAGGTAGACCTTCAGGAGAGGGGCTGGATACCAGTGAAGGGGTAAGCAGAGCAGCCCTGGGGCCTGTGTATCTGGAGTCACTGAAAGTAAGGGGCTTTACAGGAACACCACTTGTGGGGATTAGGGAAAGAGCCAAAGGTATCTTGACCTGATTGTGTCATGCTTCAGCCAGATGACCCTTCTATGAATAAGTGCTTCCACTTTCTTAGATCCATTTTACCTTCTGTTGGCATCCAAGTACATGTTCTGCACTTCAGGGCAGTGAGTGTGAACATGCTGATATGACTTCAAAGAAAACAGAAGTGCATCTTTCCCAATATGGATTACTCCAAGTCCGTTATAGGAGCACTTGGACACCTCACAAAGCTTTTGCATATTAGTTTTATTGGTGGAACAACCCCTTGAGGGCCGTGGCAGTATACAGGGCATTACCAGGACGGTAAGTCACTCTTTGCTATCCAGGCTTCTGAGAAAACAGTTTGAAGGGAGAAGTAAGAGAACTGTCTCAACTGTTGGTCTTGCCAACGTACTTCCTTACTGATTAGTTAAGGTGTTTGTAAGCAACTATTACCTTAGGCACACAAAAGACCAGAGTTTTGACAGTCTTACGAGCTTCCTGCCATTTTTGTATGTTTTTTCCCCTGCTAGTGGTGTTGGATGACAGCAAGAGGTTGGCAAAGAGGAAGCTGATAGAAGAAAATCGAGAGAAGAGACGTCGGGAAGAGCTGCAGAAAACCATTGGGCACAAACCAGAGCCAACAGATGAGGAATGGGAGCTCATCAAAATTGTCACTGAAGCACATGTGGCCACCAATGCACAGGGAAGCCACTGGAAGCAGAAAAGGAAATTTCTGGTATGGGCTGTAGCCTTGTACGCTGCTCTTAAAGCCGGGTTCTGTTCTTTCTTCTGCAGTGCTTTCCCAGCATTACAACCCCAAAGAGATTTTATCACCAGTGTTTTTTTGTGAAAAAAGGATGATTTTGTGTAGTTATTACTTCATTTTTCGTGTCTGAACCTCAGTGTTAGATCAGACTATGTCTTTCAAAAGATAAACAGCCTGTTGCTATGTTAAGGCTTACTCAGCTGGATACTTTTATTATTATGTGCTATTTATTATTATGTGCTATGATAAGAAAAAGTAGAAAAACTGTTTCTCTCCTGACTGAGAACAGAAGCAGTCTATAATTCATACTGTATGTTTTTAATATATTCTATTTAGGGATAGTTGTCTTTATTGGGGACTATCATAAAACATATTGAAAGTGTTAAAGCAATATAAATTTCTAGATAAAAGCTGGTGCTTTTGGTTAATAACTCAGGGGTTTTGCCTCTTTTGGTTGATGGTGAATACAGTAATGAAAATAAATTCAGCAAGGAAAATTAATTTCAGTGAGAACAGGATGATACATATACCATACCATTGGGATTGCAGCCTACAAAACAACTCAGACTTTCATCCTACAACTAAGGGTCAGAAAATAAATGGTGATTTGTGGTGCTCAACCTTAAAAATGGATTTATTTGATTTTTCTAAATCGATTTTTAAGGGAAATAAGTGCAGAATGCAAAATGCTTGTACCACAAAAAAGAGGGATTAGAGACTGCATTTCAGAAATACACAGGAGTCTTTAACAGTCAGTATACTAAATCAGATAAAACACACTCATCTTTTTGCAAGCCTAGGCTCCTACTGCGTAATTCACCGTGGGAATTTCAACTCACTGTTGAATTGCTAAGAGAAATTATGTACTCAAAGCAGCTGATCTCTTTTCTAATGTTGGGGGTTTTTTAATGCCAGTGACACCATCTAAATTTCTATATGAATGGCTCGTGTTCATAGTAATCTACAGTCAGGAAACCACAGCCAGTAATCACTGGCAAGAACCAAGAAAGCACTTTCCAGGGGTGTTGCAGAGCAAGGTGTGAGCAGATCAAGAAGCAACTGCAGTAGTACTTTTGGTTGCTTAGACAGGAGTGCTGTTCTTCACTGGTATCAGCTGGTTTGGGATAAAACCTAGGGAGCTAGAGTTTGGGCTGGGAATGAGCTGTTGAAGAGCAGGAGAAGCTGACAGTCTGCCCCAGGAGCTATGGATCTGTCCTTACGTGGCTGAGGCAGGTTCTTTGACAACAGGGAGTTCATTGGGGTCCACACCTCCTTTCCTCTTGAGTTAGGTGGAAGGAGCTCCCCTCCAGTGTGTTAGCTTTAGCTGGCTCTCCTGACTTGCTTTGCCTTTCCCAAGAAAATGCTGTGCTCTTCCTTTTTCTCCATAACAATGGTTCATGTGGTTTAAGCATTCGGTATTTTTTGCATGGAAGCGATGAAGGTTGTTTATCATGAGCACACAAACAATGTGGTTTAGTTACCCAAGATTCAGGAAGGGAGAGAGCCTAGAAATGAGTTTATTTGAGTTTTTTAGTAGAAACCATCAGATAATTGAGCCCAGTCTTTTTCATTGTTCTTTTACAATTGGTGCTTGCTTTAGTAACACATTGCTGAGTTTTTTTCTTGTAAGAAGTTAGATTTGGATTCAGATTGGTTACAGAAGGACCTTTTATGATGTGTTTCTTTAAAAAAGTGGTTGAACACAAGTTTTTATTACAGACAGCACTTTCAGCACCTTCCCTGTTTAAGTGTCTTCTATAAATGTCATGGGGCCCATCAGTCTTAAAGGTCTGTTTCTCTGGATTTTTTTCTAGTTTTTGACCTTAGTGTGAACAGAATGAAACCTCTGCATGGTGTTTAATAAGTGTTTGTAATTGCAAAGCCACACTTTAAAAAAAAACAAACAAACAAAAAAAAAACCAGCTTTGATGTGCCTGTTTCTAAAATATATGTTAACATTCGCCAGCTGCATAAAAAACAGGTGAACAAGTTCAAGTGCATTTGGAATAAAAAAACACTCCTTACAGATTCTGCTTGAAACTGTTTCATTGTATATTCCTATTGAAATCCTCAAAATATGAATTGTTTTTCATTTGGAGAAGCCTTGAGCTGAAATGATGCAACAGGCAATTTTCAACCAAAATTTACACAGAGGAGTTCAAATTCCATTTACATTTTCCAGGGCACCTTTAGGTTAGTGTGTTCTTTCTTGCTCATAAGTTGTTTTAGCTTTGCACATTAATTGTTTTAGTCTTTTGGAAACTGGCCTTGGCAATTGCCTGGGGTGGGGGGTGGGGGGGGGGCGGGGCCTGTGATACCTGGCAATCTCTTCTGGGGAGACTTTCTGAGCTTTGAATAGGTAAAGAGCCTAATCCTGCAAAGCAGCAGTATCTTCTCAGGGGTAACATGTCTCCTCACCTCTCTTTGCTTTTAGAGAAACTTGAGAGCTTTCAGCTCCTGTAAGGAAAAACTTGCCTATGTTTTTTAAGCAAAAGATGCATGTTCTGCACCCATAAAATACATGGATACAGACACAGGGAAGAAACTGTGCGCACAACAGTCCAGCTGTCCACAAAGAATGGGTAGAAGCATACCAGTCACCCATTTCTCTATGCTGTCACCTCTTTCACAAATGCCTTACAAATGAATTCACATTTTGTGATGTAAATGGGCTTTACTTATAAAGCAAATAGTGTTGCTTTTTATTTTAGCATCTCTTCTATACCAAGCAGGACTTTTTGGAGTATAAAATAGTTGCTCTAAGACAGACTGCTCCTTTAAATATCTTTGTTTATATCCTTAGCCAGAAGATATTGGGCAGGCACCAATAGTTAATGCCCCAGAAGGTGGGAAAGTGGATTTAGAAGCCTTCAGCCAGTTTACAAAAATTATCACACCAGCGATTACAAGAGTGGTGGATTTTGCCAAAAAGTTGCCTATGTTTTGTGAGGTAAGAAGACTTACTTGCACTCCTCATTTATATGCCTGTTGTTAAAAACTGCTCAAAATACTCTGGCATGGAACTTAAAAATTCAATGTGTCTAAAATAAAAAAATTAAAGACACTCAAAATCAATGGGACTAGAATAATCTGTATTTTCATGAATTTTCTTTTTCCTGTGATTACTGAAACCCTGAGTGTGTTAATCTGGAAGTCGTTGTGGTTCATTAGGGACTCAGTTATGTCTTTAGAGGTGGCCTTGAACAAAGCAAATGAACAAAAAGATACTGTCTAGAAGCATTACTGTTATGTTTAATAAAATCTTGCAGCACATGGTTCCCTATGTATCTTCTGGCTCCTTGGCAGGTACAGTATTGTAGAGTTGGGTCTACACAGTAAAAAATTCTTGAAGTTCATGAAAGCACCCCTGTCTGGGAGTGGCACTTGCCTCATTGGGTTCCCTAGACTTGGTTTTCCTGAATGGGGAGGTTGTGCATAAAAGAGTCTGTGAAAGCAATGGATTGTCATTCCAAGTAGATACTCACATGTAAATATACAGTAAATAGACTCAAAGGTTTGGCTTCACATTAGGAATACAGAGGCCTTACACTGATCACATTTGTACCAAGGTATCATTTTTATTGAAGGACCAGATGCAATGGCTGATTATATTTTTTTTCCTCCAATTTAATAAATGGTATCAAAACTGCAGCCTGAAATAATATTTCAGTCTTAATAATCTAAATAATTTTCATAGAATCATAGAAAGGTTTGGGTTGGAAGGGACCCTAAAAATCATTCAGTTCCAACCCCCCTGCCATCAGCAGGAACACCTTCCATTTCACCCTTTGAGGTCAACACCCTACCAGAAAGGAAGGGTAAGGCAGCCATCAAATTTTACTCTACTGTGGCTGGCAGCTTTTTTTTTAAAGTCAGTCAGGGAGAGCTATGTATGTTCTCTGGCAAGTACAGAACAAGAAGAGGTCAATATCAATAGTAGTCATAGTGTAAATATCTCACCCTGGCCAGCCTCTGCATTGGTGCCATCAGTCAAGGAAGCACGAAATAGTAGGTAAGCATGAAGATTACAAAATACGAGGAATATGTCCATAGATCATGAACATTTTAGAGTCTGAGGGAATCTGTCTCCTGTGATCTGGCATTTGTTGGTGGGAAATTGCAGTGACATACCAAAGTAGTCTTTTTAATTTAGAAAGCTCTGCCAGTCACACACAGACTTCAGTGCCCATCTGACATCTCCTACCCCTCCTGGCTACCATGGACCCGCTTGTGTCAGAGCTAGGCAGGAAGCATAGATGAAGAAGTCAAGGCATCGTTGAGCGTGACCTCTGTGTGTTATGTGGCTCAGCTGGACAGGCTTTGTTTACAGCTGAGCCACTGTGTAAACCTGACACCTGCCCATATACAGCAAGATCTGACGGCAGGGTGAGGGACAACTCCTCATGAACACAAAGGAGTGGGACAGCTGTCCTCTGAGTTGTCATATAACACTTCCTGTAGCATGAAGTAAATGGCAAATGTTTACTCCTTTTTGAAGGGGCACCCTCCTGTTAACTTTGTTTCCGTTATGATCTTTAACCCGTATCTTTTTCTTAGAAGCGACACTGTGCGGGCTGTAGATTTTATACAGGAAAAAATACTTTTTTTTTCCATAGGACCTGCAGAGCATTTAAACATTAACTCAGTTCATAATTCCAGAAGATGTCTGAGAATGCAGTAAATCTCTATGAAAGAGGGACGTGACAGGGAACATCCATGGCAACTTATATTTTCTTGGCTACTTTTCCTTCTTTTTCACATCTTTGGACACATGTAGAAGCCAGCAAAGCACTGTGAGTGCCCAGCTTAGTTTGTATGCACCCATTGGCCCCTACCTCAAACTAAGTATCCAATCCCAGACTAATCAAAGTATATGGAAAACTTGATTTGCTTCTCAGCATTTCTCCTGTTGTTTCCTTCCTGCTTTTCTTTCTGCTTAGAAGATGAAGATTGAAGAGACTATAATAAGTTTAATGTGAGTTTTAAATGTCAAGGCATCAGTGGTTTCACAGTGGGTGAAGCTGTGTAAATACTCTTTGAGGTCACTCAGCTCAGCTCAATTCCATGGTGCTGAATTGCACATGTCCTGCAGAGGTGAGCACTTCAGGTTCCTGCCTTGTGCCTTTTCTCCCCGCAGAGAGAAAGGAAAGGACAACACATGGCAGCGTTTCAGTCACATTTGTTGATCCTGCTACTGGAAGATGCTCTGGTAGCAACACTCAAATGGATGAATGTAGGTAGCATTAAAATCTGCACAGCTGGGAGCAGAACTGATGTTCAAGCCTCCTATCTCCAGTAACTCCTGCTACTGGCAGATAAAACCTGAGGACTGGCATCTGTGAAACAGGTGTCCCATGTATCCTTCAGAATTAGAAAAGCAGGTGAAAAACAGGCATAGTCAGACTGCCACTACCATAAAGAAGTTTTAAGAAGGATCAAGTAGAAAGAATTCTCCTTAGTTTCATAGCTCACTAATAAAACAGCTGAATCATCACAAAATATCTTCTCTACTGTGACCTGTTTCTTTTCTACTATTCTTTCTTCTGTTTAGAGGCATAGGGGTTTTTTCATTTCTCTTTTCTTCTCCCTTCTCTCTGTCTTTCTTTCATGTTCTTTTTTTCACTTCCATTGCTTTTTCCAGTATCTCTTCACGGTTCCTTTCACATATCTATTCTCATTTTAATTTTTTTAAACTCTATTTCTTTCCCTACTTCAGTCTCTGCTGACAAACAGTGGAATTGTCATTGGGTAGCAAGACTGCTGCTGTGCCTCTGCAGTCTTCCCCACACTGCTGCTGAGCTGAGGGTCCTCTGTAGGGAAACTGATTTGCTCTGAACAGGATGAGTCAATTTTCTTGTGTATTAAACACTTCACACCTGAAGCTGGCATTGCTGGAAAAGCAGCTGCATGACTCAACTCATTTTCCTGACCATGGCTAGCTCTGTGCTTAAAGCTCTTCTCTAGCAGGGAACTGCTTCCCACTTGCATTAGGTAGCTCTGCATCATTTCCCACCAAATCAGTGCACTTGCTTTGCACGTACACTGTTGCCATGTAAACCTATAGTTCAGGGGGGTTTCATTTTTGAATTGCAAAACAGGTAAATATAATAATTTTATATAAATCAAAAATAAATGGCTTTTTGCCTCTTTTCAAGCCAAGTAGAAGTGTGTTGCTCTTTCATATGTGGGACCCTTGCTGTTCTCTTACGGTCTCAAAACTGTCTTGGTGGGTTTTGTTACCATTGAATAACCTATGAAAACATAAAGACATGCTTTACAGAACAAGTTCTGCTCATGTGTCAGCATCCTGGTTATACTCTGTAAATACAGAACCTTTGGACAGCTTGCCTTTGTAAATGGCATGGAAAAGACACGTGCCCTGAAGAGAAAAGTTTATGCACCAGCATAAAAGCTGTAGCTATACTATAGATTTTCTGTCTGTCTAGCAATAGTGTAGGGAGCTCAGGGAGAACAGCCTTACTAGATTAAGTCTAGATTAATAAATTCTCTGTTGTTAAAATGGGCAGTGAGAATTCCTGCTCCACTGTTTGAGGTGTATCCTCTAGATATAAATATTTGTTTGAAACACAGTCCACCCTTACAGACCCTCCCAAATGTCTTTCCTTTCCTCTGGTCAGGTAAGAAATAAGTATGGCTGGTAGTGAATTTAACTGGGATGGCTGAGGTCTGCACCAGCCCCAATTATAGTTTATTCTGCTGTGATAAGTTGTAAGCTGAGGGAGCCAACAGCTGTGTTATTGCTAGATTTCCTAAGGGTGTGTGGGGATGCTAACCAGGGAATGTTGGAACCAGGAACACAGATCCTGGGGCATTGTGCAGAGCAGCATGTTTGGAGAAGAACTGCACTATGCAGGGCAGTGTCCTGGGATGTGAACTGCAACTCTGTGCTCGTGGATCTGTTGTAGCTGTAAAAGCCACTCGGTCTGACAAACATTAATTTTTCTTTGCCATTTATAATTTCTGCAGCTGCCATGTGAAGACCAGATCATCCTTCTGAAAGGCTGCTGTATGGAGATCATGTCCCTCCGAGCAGCAGTTCGCTATGACCCCGAGAGTGAGACTTTAACACTAAATGGGGAGATGGCGGTGACAAGGGGCCAGCTGAAAAATGGGGGTCTTGGCGTAGTGTCTGATGCCATTTTTGACCTGGGCATGTCTCTTTCTTCATTTAACCTGGATGACACCGAGGTTGCCCTTCTTCAGGCTGTTCTACTCATGTCATCAGGTGAGAACAGAAATATATTGGGGTCCAAACAATTTTGAAACTCTTTGGTCTTTGTCACAATCCTCTTTGTAAAAGAAATAAGATAGGTTAGATCTTGTAGTGCTGACTAGAGTAATGTGAGAGAAATTTTCTCTCAAAACCCCAGTGACTTATTTTGGTGAGCACTAGGAAAAAAATTCAGGGTGTTCAGAGTTGGAACTGGTTTTGGTAACACACCTTGCTCAGTTTGGTACTTAGGAATGAGCCACGGATGATCATCAAGATGAAATCAGTTCTGATTTTGAGCCAGTTTGCCTTAAATGAAAAATGGATAATTTAACAACACTGGTCCTTATGTTAAGTTCCCTCTTCCCCCAAGTAATGTCATGCATTGGGCATTCATACACATTTCCACCAGTCTCATATGTTTAGTTTGACTTGCCCTCTTGTTTTCCTAATTAACAGCACCACTGCTTCCTAATGGGCATTTACGAGCTGTGCTGCTTCCCTATGCTGGGACCATTTGCAACTGGTCATGATACAAAAGCAGCACAGACAACTTCCTCCAAAGAGTTTCTAACCTTCTCAATTTGAGTATGTTTTTGTATAAGCTTCCAGTGATTGTGCCAGCCCAAAGAGGAAATTCCATTCTTGGGCAGTGGCAGATTTGGCAAGATTTTATTTTAAGATGGCTTTGAAGATTGGGCACTGAATAACAATACACAATCAGTGATTTACAAGCATTAACTGCATCTGAGATTAAAAGGTTTCCACATTAATCACAACACAGCACTTCATTTTCCCCATCAAAAAATTTTTATTTCTTTTTAGGTCCCTACACACTGATACTGGAGCAGGGTTTCCAAAAGGCAATTCAAAAATTACCTGCTTTCCCAGAGGTGTCTCCTGAGAAGTGGCGTGAAAGGGGCTTTCCCAGTCCTCGTCTGGGTGCCAATTGAGACAGCCAGACTTTTAGCCTTTGTTGTTCCTTGATGCTCCGTAACAGCTCACCTAGGATCAAAGCAGGATCGAAGCATGATCAAACCATTAGTCAGATTGCAGAAAACCAGATTGAAAGGAACTGTAATTTAGACACCTGACAAGGATTTTTTTTTTTTGCTTCTTTATTAGTTGTTTTACAGAAAAATGTAGATAGAAGCCCTAGCTGAAATCAGGGCTCTGATGTTCTAGTCACTGTAAGGAAGCACTTCCCAAACAGCTACATTCTGTGTAAGTGTGCGTAAGTGAGCAAATCAGGCATTGCATGAAGAAAGAAAGGATTATCTTCTTCTTTTAACAGGCATAGTACTAGCAAGTGAGTTGGCTGGAGTGAAAGAAGTTTGTGGCAGAGCCACAAATGTCCCCAATCTCTCTCCTTTCTTTCCTAGTGTCAGGTCGTCCTATTTTTCCTGATTTATGATCAGGCATTTGTTAAAGCAAATAAATAAGAATGATAATTCTGCTGCTTTGTATCTACAGATCGCCCAGGCCTTGTTTGCGTCGAGAGAATAGAAAAGTGTCAAGAGGGTTTCCTCCTGGCATTTGAACACTACATTAATTACAGAAAACACCATGTTGCACACTTTTGGCCAAAACTGCTGATGAAAGTGACAGATCTGCGAATGATCGGAGCCTGCCATGCCAGCCGCTTCCTGCACATGAAGGTGGAGTGCCCCACAGAACTGTTCCCTCCATTGTTCCTGGAAGTGTTTGAGGATTAGAGACTGAAGTGGTTCTCCACACCCCCGTCGCACTACTGGCTGTCATTTCATCCCGTTGCCCAGCTCTTCTCACCTGTTTGTTCTTCTTCTTTCGTGGTCTTCTGTTTGTTGAGATGGGGCTGGGGTTTTGTTTGAGTTTTCTTTTGGGGTTGCTGGGGGGCAGTTGTATACACATGGATGAAAACATCCCTTTAATGCGGGTACTTGTGACTATTGCAATTTGTTCTTCAGTCCTTTGATGTGAGTGCTTTGACAGCTTAACAGTGAAAATACGAACAGACCAATCTCATTCACCAGCATTTGTGTGGTCACCAGCTCACACCCATCATTGCCTGGAAAATAGGGGAGAGAGATTGAAGTGGCAGAAAAATAAATTTGCCTTCAAGTTGAAACAGCTATTGTTAATTTGACCCTGGCAATTCTGTCTTGTATTACTCCTTTTGCAGGGTACAACTGACCAATTCATAGTACAAAATTTCTGGTCATTGTGATGGTTTCTATTGTAACAATTACCACTATGGTCTAGAATCTTCATCATCATTATGATCCCATCATTCTCTGAGGTTTTTTCCAGCAGATGCAGTTTAACTCTGCACCATAAATCAAGTACTTTAAATAATGCAGAGTGTTAGAAAGGACTGAGTCTTTTTTTTTTTTCCATGTGTATAAGATATTAAGATCTTCAGTTTCTAAATTTGGACTCCAGGTAACTTCACTGGAAGGTTTGTTGGAGTGAGGACAGAAATTTGATTCTCTGAGGTGCTCCTGATAGTGAAGGAGTCTGCTTTTTCTGAGGTGTGTGCAAAATCCATCACTCTGAGGGAGAAGACTCTCTGTCGGGATAGCAGGCAGTGTCTCAGAGTTATTCAGGGATATGAGAGCTCATGGAATGATGACAAGGAGAATGAAACATATGGGGTGACCTTCAGATAGGACAGAAACCAACTGTGTTATTAACAACACACAAGACTGTAGAGCTTTATCCCAGGAATACAAATAGTGTTGCTCAGCAGTAATCCTTTGTTTTATATATATATATATATATATAAAGTTTATATGCACATATATATATAATTTTATATATATATATAATTAGAAATCTTCAGCAGATGTCTTAAACATATTTTCGTATTTTTATCTTCTCTCTCTTTTTCTGACTCTGCCCTGTGTGTGTGCATTAGATCAGCTGAGTTCTCCCTCCCTACAGGTATGTCTGTATGTGTTTCCTTGGGCTAGATGCTCTCTTGATCCTTTTAATTTATTTCCACTAACTGCACTAGCAGGAACCAAACTGAGCAATGACAAAATGTCCTGCTGCCAAAGTCTGCAAGCCAGTACACACAGTCCTGGAATGTTTGGAGGCCAGTGATAAGGACATTGTAGGCAGAGGTTCCTCTCTATCACCATCTCCATTCAGGGATGTTGTCCCTGGGTTTTATAAACTTGATATTAAACCATCCTCTGAATTTGTATGACACTTCTAAAACATCTTTCTCTTCTTCCTGGGAACCAGGAAGATTTAGTTCATGTTTTTTGCACTGCCTCATACCCTACGTTCTTTCATGTTGTACATTGATTTGTACCAGTTTCTTTCTCTGCTATTTATTGACCCATTTGCCCAGTAAGTTGTGGGCATTGTTAGGGTGGATGTGTTGACTTTCAAAGCTCATGGCCCATATCTGAACCCATATGTTATGTGCTTATCCCCTCATAAAAACAGGATACTCAGGAAAATTAATAGATGGAACACGATATATGTGTGTCAGGAGTTAAACTCTTCCTACCATTCTTTCCCTACTTCATTGATAAAGCATTTGGAGTGCTATTGGGCACAATTTTAGGGATGTGGAATCTTGTTCTCTCTGTTGTTTGATACCATATGCACCTGTGATGAGCTGTGAGCACTAATGTTATCACTTAGGGTTTTTTTTGTCAGAACATGAAACACATTGGGGTGTGTAGGAGTTTTTCTGCAGGCAGCAGTGAAGACACACCATTGGAGATTCTTAAATATTTGGTGTAGAACCTCTTTTGTTGTCTGTGTTGGCTCCATCTTAAAGTGTCTAAACAACATCTCTATCCAAATTCCTTGTAGAGCACTGTCTTGGGGGCAAAGAGTCAGAAACTGGCTTTTTGGATAGGTGATTGGGGTGACTTGGTGGAGGACTTACAGCATGTAATAGGGAAGTCAGAAAAGCAGCCAATCCCTTACTTGCGCTGATGCCTTCACATTCTAGAAACAAAACAACACACTTTCGAGACAATATTCATATAGCAAGGAATATAAAAGCAGAATTGGAGGCCTCCAGGTGCAAATATGGCAAAATGCACATGTGATACAGGACTTCCACAATTTTATAAGTTTAATAAATTAGCATATTTAGCAATAGTGTCCAATTAAAAGAGCATTTAGTTAAGTAATTCCCCCTTTTGGTTCTGCCCATTTGGAGCCCCTCCTGAGTTTCTAGCCATATTTATTATGTCTAGAATACATGGTAAAAGGAAATAAGACATCCTTGGCTGAAGAGGCAAGACTAAATAATATTTCAGGAATGTAGCATAATATGTCTTAGAAGGTTATCTTATTGATTTAAATGTAGGGGAAAAGGGGTAGGAAAAGTACTGGGAGCTACAGCCATGTATCAGAAATCTTCAAAGCTTTAAATATATGACAAATACATGAAAGGCTTAGGCATCAGTGCCTATGCCCACAGTGGCTTGCAAAGAAAAGAGGAATGTGCGTGTCTTTTGAAGCCCTGTTCTGCCATGGATCTGAGCATGGAATTCCTCCTGAAGCCAGTGCAAGTATCTCACCTGTTTGCTTAATGTAAGCTTGAGTAGGCATTCAAGCTTTTGACTGTGCTGGAGGTGAGACCCAGGAGAGGAAGCATCACATCTCATTCTAAAATACCAATGCAGTTTGGAGCTGTGCTAAGTCAGGGTTCAGAAAGTCAGGCCTCCTTCCTTAGGTGATTGCAGATGGACTGAAGTGCCTAAAATCAGGCAACTGACTTAGACAGTTCTGGCAGTGCTCTAAGCAGAAAGGACATCCATCAACATGTTTTTCTAGCTTTTCTGGTTAAGTTGGAGTCTGGCACTAATTAACAGACTGAGTTAGTAGTATTCCCTTACTGAAAACTAAAGCTAAGCTTGTAGTTGGACAGATTTGATGAACTGACATCTAATAGCCTCTGATCTCCTACCAGTCTTACTTTGTGTCACTTCCTTTACTTCCTCAGTGTGACTGCTGATTTATGTGATCGTGAGGGCGAAACTAACTGACCTTAGCTCTGCAAAGATGTACTTCTAAATATCAGTGATCTTAAGCCATTGTGGGATTGTGCCCCTGGACTGACCACCTCAGTGGCAGACGCCAATGCCGCAGTCAGCACCCTCGGTAGTAACTGGCCTTCTGAGTGAAATAACAAACTTGTGCTTTCTAGTGCAGTCCAGAGTATTGTTTCTGCTGGTGCCACATGGCTCTTGTGTTTGCTTTGTGGTCTACATGTGGGTCTTACACAGAAGGTTTTTCCTCTCAAACCTGATTGTCACCATTCATGGTATTTCCCTGAGTAACATGTGCATTTAGATACTCATTTCATGTGTAATCTCAGTTAAGTTTTGATATTTATTATAACATATATAGTGTGTGCTAATGATTTTTGTTTACATTCTGCCAAAACGTAGACCTTAGAGTTAGACTTCCCAGGTCCAAAATCATCTTTGAGCAGACTGCTTGCTTCTTCAGACAGGTATCAGAAAGAGGAAAAAACTGTCCAGAAAGACCATTTATATCAGAAATCTGCCAAGAGAGGGCTGTTAATCACAAACAGAGCATGTCATTGCTAGTGATGTATTTTTATGCTATGGAACTCTAATCTGTATGTGTCATATTGACTTCTTGCTGCATGAATCATAAATTTTAAAAATCAGTCTTATGGTTTTGAGATGTAGCCAGCATTCCTAAGGCTAAACCTTTTTCACTGACAGAATCAAAATCCACAACCAAGGAACGTTTTCCTCTCACTGTGAGAGCAAATGAAAGTGTTCAACATTTATCTTTTCACAAAGGAAGAGGCAACAGAGCCTCTTAATGTGTCTTGTTATTGTGATCATCTGGAAATGATTGCCAGACGTTTCCTTTTGATATAGTAATGAAGTGATCTGTATTTAAATTTTATAGAGAGAATTTTATTCTAGTGTGATAGAGATTTATTTTCCACTTAAAGACTCAAAACGGTGTGAGCACGTTTTTGGTTTGTTCCTTTTTTTTTTTTTTACTATGGTATATTTTTGCTTTAAAATTAAAAACAAAACAAAAAAAAAAAGGTTTGGCCTTATCACAAAGTTTTAGTATAGATGTTAGCAAACGCAAAGAGTATGCATTATTTGTGTGTATCCACATTGACTGATGTCGCCTTCAAAAAGCAATATTGTGCAGGTAATAAGTTGTTTGTGACTGTCCATTGCACAGTTTACCTTCTTTAAAAGCTAACCTTGTTTATGCACAAGACAATCAAATGTAAATCTACATCAGCACCCAGGTGTGGATTAAATTTATGTAAATTACTGAGCACAATGTAAAACATTAAAAGACACTTTATTTAATTACACATTTAATGTTGGTAAAGATAGTATCAGGGCATGAACTAGCTGACATACTGTAATTTCTTTTTCTCTTTTCCTACTTCCTTAGCACTCTACAGTTTCAGTTTGCTCATAAATACATCAAATTAGTCATTCATACTTTTTTTAAAGAGGAGGGTGGTTTGGCTTGTTTATTTGTTTTTATGAAGTTGGTTGGGAGGACTTACTACTTTGTCTATGAAGTTTGTGGGTTTTACTTATTTGGTTTATTTTTTTATATCAGTTTCATGCCCTGAGGGTAAGGCAAACATTACACCATACAGTAAAAAACAAAGTACCTTGGATGATGTATTTTTTTGCAAACAGTGTTAAGAGTTATGCTAGATTGGTAATATTTTTTCAGCCTAAAATATATTAAAAAAAATCTGTGATCACAAATGTTTTAAACTATCTAAAGAGAAAATTTGTATATTTGGGGAAGAAAATAATTTTTACATAGCTTTTGTATGCAGATATTAAAATGTAATTATGAATATAGTGGGCATAGATAACTGTGTAAGCTTGAATTCTAAAAAAAGAAAAAGCTTATAACTGAAAAGTGGTCTCTGTCTCTTTGTTGCATGCTCTTTTGTCAGCTCTGTCTCACACTTCCAAACCACTGGAATGGGAAAAGTAGGACCTAGGGCACAATGTTGTATCAGCTCTAACCTGTTCACATTTCTGTGCTTCTGCATCCCTTTCATCACCTACCTCATATCTTATCTCCTCTCCTCCCTTCCATTGGGCAGCCAACCAAAGGTTTTCACTTCCTCACTCTTCACAGCAGCCAACCTTAATTTACTCCAGTGAACTGACTCTTGATTTATGTCTCACTCAATTACATTTTTAAGGGAACGCCCTTTCTTTCCTTCTCCACTCCCAGTCTAAACAGGGATGGTGTGACAGGAGCAATAAGCTACCAATCTTTTCATACTTTCCATGCCTTAGTCCCCTACCTATTGGAGAAGATCTTCTCATTCAGATATTTCCTCTAGTCTTATTTTCCTTTGCAGTTCTTATTTCTCCTCCAGTTCTTTCATTCCTGGAGGAAGCCAGACCTATTGCCTGGATCCAGAGTAATGTCTTGGCCTGTCCCAGATGGCAAACCTATTTTGTGCTCTTGTTTCATGGTGATTTCCACAGGCATTCACTACCTGCCTGCCAGCTCCTGCTCCTGGTCCCCTTCCACAGGAGGTGCCAGGAGCCTTCCAAGGGATGCTGAGCTCCCCTGGGAGCACATTGCTGACACCTGGCTCAGTGTCCCTGGGCAGTGGAGTGGCAGCAGCTCCAGGGTTTGTTGCCACTGTGGCCTGTGGGAAGAGGGGCTGCCTTCAAAGGCAGGAGCTGTGTGTGAGGAGCCAGAGGGAAAGCATGAAATCCCTGCTGTGCCTTAACTGGAATCCCTTCAAGCACTGCAGTTCGGGCACTCACGTGGGGAAGCCTTGCCAAAGCCTCTGCTGGGTTTGCACCGAGCGAGCAGCAATGTGGGTTGCTTTGGCCGCCCAGGACCAGCTCTGGAGAGAGGAATTAATTTGGTGTGTAAAAACTTGTTTACTCAATGTGAAGAAATAGTTCTGCTTCCACAGATGCCAGTGCTCTGGGTATAATGTTTTCATTTGTAGTGGTGAAATCTGTTTTTCAAAAAGTGGTGTGATATCTGTGGATTCTGAGAGCCACATGAATTTGCTTCAATGTCTATTTATCACTGCATAGAAGGACATTAAGGGATGGTAGCTCTTTCCCTGGAGCTCCGGCACTAAAAGCAGGAGCGTGTTATTGACCTGCTGTAGGCTGCCTCTTGCACCCTGAGCCTGTTGCTGAACACAGGTGCCATTTTTTTGCCACTTGGTGAGGTGGGTGAGGGTTTTCTGTCCTTGAAAACTGGGCCACGTCTGAAGGATTTTCTCTGTGAACTTGGGAGTCTAACAACAAACATGTGTCATACTCATGGCTGTGTGTGCTCTGTGGTATTCCCCATAGCATCAGTATGAAAACATAGCATCAAAATGAAAACCTGCATATTAAAAGTGACTGCATACACATCACCTTTGAAATAAGTAAGGGGTATGTATAAAAGTCCCTCAGTTCTGCTTATCATATTGCAGCCCTCCTTACCAGGGAGAGATGACTCCTTTCCAAACAATCACAGAGCATCTTTCTCTCCTCTCATGCTTATGCCTGGTGGAAGCACTGACCCTGCAGGTACTGCCACAAGCTGCCTTTGTACACACAATGAAAAATTAGAAAAAAACCCTGAGGAATCTCCTTTGTATCATTTGGGAGAGCTTTGAGACTTCTAAGGTCAAGGAATAGTGAAAGGTCTGTGGGATCTGTAAGTCAGAGGCCCCAAAGGGAGAAATAAAATGTCTCGCAGGTCATTCTGACATTGTGGTGACTTGAAAAATTGCAAACTTGGAAAAGTGGCCCAAGCTCTCTATGCTGCTCTGCAGAACTGGAGTGGAACCTACAGGGAAAACAAGACAATTCTTAGTGGATTGTATTTGGAAAGCACAGTGTAAAAAAGTAGAGAAGGACATCAGCAAATCAAAAGCAAAACTCAGAATGAGTCATTTTCTGAATTTCATTGGGATCTGAATTTGCGAGACTGTGTGAGAGGGTATGGGGGTAGCTTCAAGCAGTGTTTCTCTGAACAGAAATGTTCTAGTTACAAGAAATAAAAGAAGTTTTTCAAAATTCAAAGAAAAGCTCTGTTTAAAGAGGAAAAAAGTGTTACATGTGATTGCAAGGTCTTTGGTATCTCATTGCTCAGAGATAGGAACAAAAAGGAGAAGTTGTCTTTTCTGGGATAACCAGAGAAGCAGTGAGCTTCACTGCCTAATGTAATGTTTAAAATGGAAATGAAAGCTGGGGCATGTCTTTGTGCGCATATAAAGTTGCAGGAGGAATTGGCTAGGGCTGAAAACATGTCCTGCTGGAGCTGTAGGTAATGACAAAAGGTGAGATCCAGGCTGTGGTTTGGTGAAGTTGTTCTTTACTCCAATGAAGCGTAGGAGAGGTCACAGGTATTGTCAGTTGCTTTCACAAAAGGCACAAGAAAGTGTTTGGCAACTGAGACACAGAAACCAGCACATCTTGGTGCAGTGGGTCAGGATCCATGACAGTGAGGAGCAGAGAGCCTGCAAGATGCAAAACCACTGACCCAGAGGACTGAGTCAGAGAGGGGAGGAAACATCTAACTCAATGTGATTGTGTTGCCAGGAGTTTCTTTATTTCTGGGCAGGAAATCCAGAAGAAGGGCTCTTCAAAGACTCAGAGGGATCTGACAGACATTAGCTGCCAGTGCCTTTAAGCCTCCATGGCCAGGTGGGGCAACCTGGATGTCCTCTTGCCCTCTCACTGCTATGCTACCCCCAACCTGGGAACAAGGCCGGTGACTGTCTGGCTGCTGCTTTCCCACCGTGGTGGGAAATTTTTCAGAGGCTTCCAAAAAAATGCTGGGGCAAGCAGAGTAGGTTTTTCTCCTGAATGCCAGAGCACACACCAAAGCTGCTGACTTCTCCCTCTTGCCAAAGTGAGCTCCTTGCTCTCTGTGCCCACAGTCCTGGCTCTAGCCCTGAGACTGCCCTTGGAATGGAACAGCTGAGCATGCTCCGTGCTGGCTCAGCTGGGTCCCTTGGAAGTGAAGCCCATCTTTGTGGCTGCCTGGGCAGTGAACAAGGCACTTTTCCATTCCTGCTTTTTCTATCATGTGTTGGTCAACTCAGTCCTAGACACTGTTCTCTTCCAGAGAGAATACAGAGCTCTTCCAGAGCTCCCACTAATGGCCTGTGAACGCAGGTCCTGACATCCATCTAGCATTCCAGAGCAGTGTGTGTGGAGAAGGAATGTAGCCCAGAGGCATGAGCTACCCTTGGAAGTCCTGCTGGCACCAGAGATGGGATGAAGGGCACCAGAACAGACTTCTCACCAGGTCAGGAACTACAGAGATGGAGTGATGGTCACAAAGGTCTGCCAGGAGGAAATGGGTGGTGACAACAGGGATAGGTTTGTGGCCTCCAAAGCCTGTTGCAAAGCTCAGGAGCTGAGTGTTCTGTGTCAGAACTCTGTAGTAATAAAACAGGCGTCTTTGGTTCTAAAATCCCAGCATTCACTTTGTTTGTTCTCCTGAGAAGTATCCTGTCACTGGAATTTGTAAGTTGGTATTGCTGCCAAGGCCCAAGGGAGAACTGAGAGATGAAGGGGGAAGGAAGCTGTTCCATCCAGAAGGAGAAGGGGCTGTGTTCCCTTATATATGAGTGCATATGCACAGCTTTGCACTCAACACAGGGCTAAAAACCAAATTGGGCCAAGCTATTTCCAGGCTATATCCCTAAAGCCCTGTGCTGAAAAGGAGGTGCTGATTTGCCAAAGCCTCTGCTGGGTTTGCACCAAGTGAACAGGACAAGGAATTAATCTGGTGTGCAAAAACTTGTTTACGCAATGTGAAGAAATAGTTCTGCTCCCACAAATGCCAGAGCTCTGGCTGGGACATTTTCAGCTTCTTTCATTTGTAGCAGTGAAGTCTGTGTTTTTCAAAAAATATCATAAGATGTCTGCAGGGGCTTCCAGAATGTGTCAGAGGAAGTCTGCCGGGCCACTGTGCAGCAAAAAGAAATGGATGGATGAAATGAATCCACTTGAAATGGATGGCAACAGTGTGGGGAAAGAGCTACAGCCTGCACTTGGATTGGGTAGATCAGGTTTTACAGCAGAGTTAGTCCCATCCCAGACTTAACTCTGCTGACCTTGAGGGTAAACTGGGACATCAGCAAGTGTTGTGAGGCTTGGGATATTTTGAAGGGCAGACGGAAGAGGGACAGAGTGGACAGCTAATGACCCACTGGTGGTTTGACCAGTAGTGGTTAGCATCCCCCAGGCTTTCCTCACTGCCCTTTAAATCAAAGGTCCTCTGGGGCAGGTCACCTTGGGAGCCAAGGATGGCTTCAAGTCCCAGGCTGCCCTGTGCTGAAAACAAGGGAACACACTGGGCTGGGAGTATCCATGGTGAAATCTCCACGTGCCTTGAGCAGCTGACAGGAACACAGCCTGGGAGCCTGGAGCTGTTGGAGCTGCACTCCAGCTCTAGCACCAGGGCTTGGCTGCTGGTCTGAACCCAGGGCAGGAAGGACACATGGAGTCCACTTGGGCTGTGAATGTGGGATTCTTCTTAATTTCATTTTTACTTCAAGTTCTGTTAAAGAAATCAGCAGTGAAACTGGGCAATCACCTAATGTTAATGATATTTTGTCACATTTCTGGCTGTGCTGATCTAATCAGATTTGCCTCTAGCCTTGGCTTCAGACAGTTGAATGCACCTACACTCCATTATTACCACATATGTTTTTTTCTTGAACAGGGCATGATGACAGTATTTCAATTTCAAAATATACCTCACAATATCCAGTCCTTTTTTTATGGTGTAAAAGAAGATGTTTATAAGAATTCTAACCAGGAGATATCAAGACAAGATATGTGTCTAGGCCAGGAGAAGAGGCTGGACTAATAAGCC